AGCCAAGGAGTCATATGGCACCTGAAGCTCATCATTCCAACCTCAGTCCGCTGACCAAACAAGAAGAACGACACACTTCGATGAAAAAGAGAGACAGGCCAGGGGATAAACATGACAAAAAACGGTCAGAAGAAACAAATTGCCCGACTGCCCGACACTCCAACCTACACTTAGCAAACACTATCGCATCATTTTGCATCCAACATGTTCAGCTTTGACTAAATTGCGCGATCCTTCTGCTATTATTGTGTTTGTGCTTGTGCGTGCGGGAACACAGCGCGAGCTTTCATTAAAATTATTATGGTTACAGATGGTTACGGCATGTTATGGCTACATAATCTATATATACAGCACTTTACCCAATGGATTTTGCCACTATGCTCGAGTTCGACGAGGCCGTTTAATACCATTGCAATTGCAACTAGTTAGTATAGGCAGCATAGCAACATTTCATCACTCTGGAATGACAAGTTGTGCCGGAAATAGGTCAATTCACGATCCGGTGTTTGTCGCAGTTTTCCCACAAGAGTTGGCAAGCAGCTTGCAGAAAGTTTGCTTCTTTCGCAAGGACTCGAGTCACGTAGGTAAGCCCAAAACGGAGTGACATGACTCCAAACCTTGTCTCAACCAACAAGGCCTTGTCCAATAGTCACGAGTCTTCCAGATAATTAATCGTGTCATCACACACTCACACACCTTACGCAACGATGTTCCACCTTCTGTCGCACGTGCGCAAGCTTACGCAACCAAGTGCACCCTTATGCGCTAACGCCAGGAAGTGATTTGAAGTATATGCGCTCGAACACTCACTGACCATGTTTTGGAAGCTTGGAAACTGCCCACACGCGTATGATACGTGTCTGTTCCAAGAGCCGCCATTTGTCTTGAGCTAGTACCGAGTTTCGGATCCAAATCCTTTTGAATCAGTTAAGGTCGGCACCCTCTGAGCTGTCTGGCTGTTGCAGCCTTTCTGTGGCATCCAATCGCAATCTGTCGAGAAACATGTGCTTCCTCACTTGCGACAAGCTCTTAGTTGGGGAAGCCTAGTCTAGTCTACCCTGTACGTCGCACACGTAGAAGTAATCTGTGCAAACTTCACCACCTTCCAAGAATCCGCGAGGGTAGGTACCCTGTCTTTGACTATAATTGTAAAACAACAAACATTACCCAATCGCAATTCAGACTCGCAAAGTCTTTGTGGAGGTGGAGGCGCTTCGCAAACAAGTCATGAAGAAATCCCTTTGCTTCATCTCTGCGAGAAAGACCTTCAAGCACATGCTCAAGGTGATCTTCCAGATCCGACATGAAGTGCAACATGTCTCTCAAATCCCCGCGAGCTGGCGAACTTTCTCTTGAGGCCTCCGAGAGCATAGACTTGATCTTGTCATTGGATGCCCTGAAGACCATCATGTTGTTGTCGGAGGCCAAGAGTTTCAATACCTCCTCCCTTGACCACCCTTCCACCTTTTGCGCTCCAACGAGGTCCAAATAGGTGTCTGCTCGACATTCAGCGTCAAAGGCAGGTGAATCTGGGAGAACCTGCGCTATCTTTGGCCAGCGTCCTTGCCACTCAACCACCGCGCCGCCGAGAGTGCACGTGGCAGATCCTTCAAGCCACTCAACCATCGCGTCTGTCCGCACGGCATCGAGGAAGAGGCTGAGTTTGGAACCGGGCAACGGCATCCAATCCACCTTTAGGTCTTGACCTGGCGCCAGACTCACATGACGCGGCCAACTTTTAGTCTCAAACAAGTCAGTCCAAAGTGTCCAGTCTCATGGATTTGGAATCTTTGTGATTAGTGCAAACCCTTCCTCTTTTAGCGCAAACAGCTGCAACACATGGTCCGCCGCATGGGTGCAGTTGGCTCATGGTCCCTGCCTGAAGTCGCCATCTCGGGAATGGCGTTGAGTCCTGGCCAAGCAACGACATCTTCAGGCGCAGGGCCTGGCTGAAGAGGATGTTCTCGCAACTTAAGAGTATGACAAATATCATTGCACGTGTGGTTCAAGAAGAAGGCGTCCATGCCTTTGGTGGCCAAGTTTCCTCGCCCAAAGCGATCTGTGTCCTGAGAATGAATCTGTGGATCAGTCAAGGTGTTACCACCTCCCTGAATGTCAGCGACCATGATGTCCCCGGCTGTGAATTCCCAAGTGAAGTGTGTGAACGCTTGCGCCAAGTCAGAATCTTTGGAGATGTAGCCAGCATTGGAGGTGAACTTCTCATACCTACCTAGGGGATTGCAGTGCAGGGGCTCTGCCGGTTGGATGCTCAGGCATGGACCACATATGCACCACCTATTTACGTGGGTGCTCCAATAGCAAAACACCCTGGCCCTCGCTAGTTCAGACTGCTCTATTTGCCGAACTGAACGCGATTCGGAACTCCTTGGAGGTCTCCCTATGTTTCTTTTGAATACACACCCGTATTTGCATGGCACCGATCCGCAACTCTACCCCTGCCTGGGATCCAGGGTTCAATCGCCATAAAGCGAAAAGGAAAGTCTGAATCAGCGCCCAAGTCCAAAAGCTGAGCTTGCACAAACTCAATTGGATCTTCGACGTACCTTGGAGGTCCAGATGGTCTTTTGCGAAAGGTTTAACCGAACTAATGAGTGACACCAGTGGTTTAGTAAGAAATCCCTTCTACACCAAAAGAACTAAGGGTCTTAAGAGTATGAGGACAGTCAAGGTACTGAACGCTAAACTCCTTTGCCAAATAGCCAGCCACCGCCTGCGAAGCCATGTCCCCCTCGTAGGTGGACTTTTGTTGGAAAGCAGGGTCGTCAAACTGATAGACTTTGCCCACATACTTGCGGTCTGGGTGTCCTTGGTCAACAAGATAGAAAGCAAATCGCATCGCTCCCTTGCCAAAGGGCCTTGGATGAAGGGCTGCCATGAAGGGACACGAGGTCTTCTGCGGCGGCTCGTCCACTTCATTCATGATGTAGGTGTAGAGTTGTGCTTCTACTGTACACCATCCATCTCTGACTTCCCAATTCACGGGCGTGTCATCCACGACGTATGTTAGCAGCTTCTGGGGGACTGCTCTCGCTTGACCCATCCGTGAAGCTGAGCCGCTGAAGCTGTTCGCCGAGGATGAAGACACGATGCAGCGGAAATGCTTGGCATCTCGACGAGCATCATAGACCTTGAGCTCCAATGAAGCTGTTCCGGGAACTGAATATTGCTGTTTGAAGACCTTCAAGCATCGTGGTTCGCGTTTCCAGTCACTGACTCATGCAGGAATAATATCCACCTTGACACCTGAAGCATAAAGGAAATACTGTGCATCCAGGCCCAAAAGGAACTTCAACATAGTTTGCTTTCAGTTCCTGCATGCTACAAGTTCCATGCTCCAACCGGGCCTGTATCATTTTGTCAGTGACCGTCCCAAGCCGAAGAATCACCATTTGTACCCCTCGCTGTTGAAACTCCTGTGAGCGGCGAACTGATGCAACTTGCTGCCATAACAAGCGCCTGGAATGTGAGGTCACCTGAGTGACCCTAGAATACAAGCATAAGGGAGAAGGAAAAACACTCATTTAATTTTACCATATCATGTATGGCATTTTCATATCAAAGCAAGGGCCAATTAAGTCCAATTCTAGGATATTCTAGGTACACTATTTACAATACATACATAGTTACGGGCATGTGTGCAAGGCTCTTAAGACTTCTCCTCTGTTTGTATCCCCATGGCCTTGGTAGTGCCAAGTGTCTGCATACACATATTAATTAATTGCATTATATACACAGAGCGTGTGTATACATTCATTCAAAATGTGCAGTGTCTCCTTCAGGACATCATCCATAGGCGTCCACTGCCTAGGATCCTCGCAATGTAGGTCGTAGAATTCGTTTGGAAGTGATCGTTCCACCTGCGCTTTGTCTTGGACACCTGAAGCAGCTACCACTTCTTTCAGGCTCTGCGCGTCTGTGTTCAGTTCGCACAGTTGGTGAAAACGCCAGCCATGGTGGGGAGTCTGGCTCAGCAAATACAGCACCTTTGCTGTGGCGGACCAATCTAGCTTCAATGCTTCTTCCAAGCCTGTAAGGACATCTTCACTCACATCACCACCACCATTGGCCTCCAAACGCTTCAAAAATGTTTTGATCTCGTCGATGTTGTTGGTAAATGGATGCACCACTGGATGGTCTTTGTCATCATAGTCACGGTAACCTACAAAGGCAACCCTCACCCGAGCAAGCTCTCCCAAATACTGCCTGTTATCTTCGATGATCTCATCCATCTTCTCATGAACAGTCTTGAGCCACCACTGCATGGAAGCCGTGAGGTCCACAACGAAGCACAAATCAATGGTCTTCACCTCCCGTGATAGGTCACTGTCTTGGAAAAAAGAACCTCCCGGATGGATTTCACTGTATAGCGTATATAGTCTTTCAAAGAGTTTCGGGATCCAAGCTATAAACAAGTCCGGCAAAAGGCACATCTAAGACAAACGCTGCTAGGTTTCATGAACCAAATGACCCTCTTGGCGCGTTTCGTGGCCAGGGCCATAGCCGAAGTCAGCTTGCGCTCTTTGCTGTCTCGTTGCATGAGCCATTGCCTTTCTTGCTCAAGGCGATGGCGTTCTTCTTTTTTCTGTTGCAAGACCTTCTGAAGGTCAGCCCCATCCGCCATGGTAAAACAATCGATTGGTCAAAAGCAGAATCGTGACGACACCAGGCTGCAAAGGGCATGCTGCGGGAAAAACATGCATCACATCAGCTCACCGTTGAGAACAAAGTCATCGACTTTCATCTTTCCGTTCATACAATGTGCAAACACATATCAAATAATATAGTTAGTAGGTTGGAGGCCATTGCTAGTATGTTGAAGGCCATCGCTATTAGGTTGGAGGCCATTGGTATTACAATATACCTTGCCATACAGTGCCCGCACTTCAGGACCAAGCGCAGTGTTGAAAGACCGTCGCTTTGCCAATCAGCACATTTTTTGCAATTGATTTGTCAGTTGCCCCATGCTCCCCACATCCAAATCAATCAATATTAATTGGATCACACCAATGTTTCCTCGGCTGAGACCGAAATCACTCTCTTCAAGGATATTAATGCTGAGAACTTGCAACATGATATCTTGACTGTTTATATCTGAAGCATGAGTATGGATGCCCTGCCCAAAGTATGGCAACTAGTTTGAAAAGAAACAACCATGCAGTTTGGGCTCCTTCGGCCATTGCTTACGATGCTGCTTGCCGTCAAGTCTCAGTGGAGTTACCCACCGCGTTGGGCTGCCTTTGGCCTTCTTTGGAGCCTTGGCGTTTAACCAAATTTCACAGGGTTGAGTTTCCATTTGTCAGTACATCTCAGTCCAGATGTTCCACGACTCCAGCGGGTTTGCAAAACAGAACCTCCCAAACATCTCCGTCAAGACGGGACGACCTCGACGGTTTGCGCCGACGTTTGGACGCGCCAGGGAACCGGTGAATCTTTGCCACCAACTTCCCCGTGCCCAGGAGAGAAGGTCCTCCAAGCAAACAAGCCGAAAACGAATCAATGGCTCCAGGTGGAGGCCCAGGTCTCGCCTTGGGGGGTAGGTAGCTAGTAGCTACTGAGGTCCGCTTCTACCTAGGACGCGATTTTAGCTCGCGCTCGCACTCGTCATATGGTTCCTAGATTCTATAGGGAAACTAAACGATTGCGAGCACTTTTGAATTCTGCGAGGTTGCCTCTCAGCAACGTCATCAATGAGGAAGAGGACCAGGCACTGCTTGAAGTAGAAGGGCACTCACTGCACACTTCGGGCCTACCCTTCTGTTCAGCCATGCTTCATGACATGTTTCTTCACAGTCTGGTCCATTGCTCGGATGACATGTCTTTAAGGATTTGGATCTTCTTCCACCGCATCTCTATACAACTGGCGATGCCCCCAAACTGAATAGAACAACTATATAGATCTTCTGATCTTCTCTCTTAAAAATGAACCTCGTTGCTCTCTCCTTCGCATCCGGTCTCGCCCGGTCCAGTTCGGCTCCTCTTGGAGAGACGCTCCAGCAGCGAGGACCGTGCTCGTGGGACTGCTGCGGTGACTGCTGTGACCGGTGGTCTCTTGCCCTGAGGTCCTGCGATGGACTTGAGTGACCTCTGATTCCAACCTACCAGCGATGGCCTCCAACCTACCAGCGATGGTCCACGTTCTTTTCATGTCTGAATACATCACTTGAGAGTTGCGGTTTCAAGAGGACAGAACAAGGTACCTGCGGAATGCGGACGTGAGAGATGTGGACATTTGGGTCACTCAGGTCTCAGCTCTCCACTCAAACCTGGACTGAAAACAGCGGCACTCACTCTGTCCACTCACTACGCCTTTCTCCAAGCATGACTCGACTAAGATTCTGGTCCTGAGACTCATGACTCATGACTCAATGACTCATGACTCAATGACTGGGGTTCAATTCATGGTCCGCTTTTTGTTTGGAGGCCTCTGGCGGCCGAGACCCGAAGAAGTCTGATGCTCAAACCCGTTGACGACCAATTCAGCGGCGAAAGAGTTGGAGCTCGCCTGGCAGTGCTCGAAGGGTCGCAGCTTCCAGGGGATCCTGGTGAACGAACGGAAGAAGTCTTGACTGTCGAAGTAGAAGACATGCTGTCCTGCTTTCCTCTGATAATGACTATAGGTATCTATAGTATAGGCATCTATAGTCTATAGGTCCTACAAGTTTTTGTTGTTGTTTTTTGTGCAGGATGCAAACAAACAGTAAACAAGTTTGTCAAAGTCAAAGCTGATGGGCAAAATACACTTGTCACTGATTTAGTAAATCCACAAAAACACCCACCCCAAAGGTTTGCTAAAAAAGCAGCTTGACAGCAAACCGTTAACAACACGTGCGCTTCCTTGTTGCGGACTGCGAACGCTTGGCTGGGTGAAGTCTCGTCTGGTCGAAACCCTCGTCGTCTCGTCGTCTCGATGGGTCTCGATGGGTCTCGTCGTCTCGGCGAAACCGGCGAACACGGGCGATCCAAGGGCGAGGCCTGAAGGAGGCGGGCAGAAGCGACGGGCTGTGTCGCGCATGAAGAAGCGCAGAAGTGTCTGAGGTGCACAGTTCATGGAGTACTCTTCAACTGCTTCGGCTGGATGCCAAAGATGCTTGAGGCTGGGGGCACACCGCCGGTCCTTCGGCTGCGATTCAGTCTTTTGCTTTGCGGTGACAGTGACCTGCATGCGCAAAATGCCTATGTGGAAACGTTCAATCAGTTACAGAAGTTACATCAGCAAAACCAATGCACACAACGTGTATTCTCTTGCTACGGTGACCATTGAAAGCGTCCCCAATTCCAATGTATTATATCCAGCAACCAAGGATTGGTGTGTGGCTACATTTTATGGTTGGACTGTGTGATGTGCCTCAGTCTTGACAGGCGTCATCTCATCCCAAGCTCTCACCTGGAACATCAAACCGGCAGTTTGCCGGCGGATGCAAGCGCAAGCAGCTGATTCCCAGTGTCTTCACATCTATTCATTGATGGCTTAGGCTTGTCCGCTCTGGCTGGAGGGTTTGGTTTGTGTATTTTGGATGCAAGAAGGACAATTGTCCATGGTCACTGCATCAACTTCCCTTCGAGCACAGAAAAGGACACTTCACATCTATTTGAGAGAATTGATGTCCTCCAACCTAATAGCAATGGCCTCCAACCTACAAGCGAACAGATTCAGATTCAATCCAGGAGCACGGACGGACGCCGAGGAAGCTCTGCGGCTCCGGTGCTCAGCTTCCTATGCGGTCAAGGCGATCGAGTGGACAGCATGTGTGGAGTAGCTTCCTGTGTGCAGCAACGTGATGCTTGGAAGCGTCTCTGATGCAATCCCCCTTCTGATTTTGGTTTGTTACTCCCAGCTGATCAATCAGTCAGTCCGTTTCAAACACTTCACATGGAACCGGACTTCTACAGTGGTTTGTACACATATATCGAAAAGTAGTGATGTTTTGTGTCATCAAACCTGTGCGCCTGGTAGAAGCTCAAGACTTCCGGATGGGCACGACAAGAGCTTTCCAATTGTGCAGCACCACGGATCCAAAGCCCCTGTGTCCCTGGCGAGAAGCGAAACAAACATCCCAAGCTCCAGAAGGACGCAAAGAACAGTGCATTGCCCAAATCAAGAGCACTTAGCGAGTTAGTATGCCATCAACAGGTCAAGTCGTTGATGTGTTGAGTCAAACATGAACATGGAAGTGTTCCTTAGACATGGAAGTTCGCATTTTGCTGGGCAAGTGAGGTGTGGTTTCAGTTGCTCAAAACATGTGAGAATATGGGGAGGCCCCCATATGAAGACGTTCTTGCAATCCATGTCTGGTTTTTTTGATCAAGATTCTACACAATGAACACCAAATCTTTCCATCAAGTGACTCCCTCGTCCTTCTTCCATCTGTTCCATCTGTCTGGGTAGGGTGACCCCAATCCCCAAAAAGGTTGGGAAGGTGATCCACTTTTCCTGAGTCGCTCGTGAATGAAAACAGCTCAACGTAGCGCCGACGCCCTACGAACCCTGAGTCGGTCGAGGACCGACTCCCACCTGTGAGCCGCGACAGGGCGACATAGCTCTGACCTGCCTGACCGGAGTCGGTGGATCATGATGGAACTGACTCGGAACTGGTGAAAAAAAGGTCCAAACCACAAGGAATGCGAAGCCGGACGGAGATGTGTAGGTTTTATGGCAAGTAAAGCTAACATCATAAGATAACTGATGAGATAACTTTCAATCAAACACAATCATGTATCTCCTCTACTGTGCAAGTCAATTTACTGAACGGGGACTGTGGATGCAAATGCAAACAACCTATATACTCTATAGTATATACCCCTGTTGGCACACAACACCAAACAAAAACAATAACCCCTCTTGGATTGGCATCGAACAAAGCATCTAACGATCTTGAAAGTCAATCCGAGTCCACCAGGGTTAGCCCTGGATTTTTCCGGACTTTTTGCGGATCGAATATGATCGAATCACTCTTGATCTATCACCCAAGAATTGCATGAGACTGGCATATATTATACATTGGAGTGGTTTCAGGGGTCAATGTATATAGGCATAAAGGTTGGGTTGGGTCTATCCAATTCCCTGAGGTGTCCCTGCATGAATGAATGTGCATGATGATGGTTAAGGTACCACCCAATTCTTTAACAAAGAAACATCATGCATCGTCTTGAACACAGGATGTCACCTAAAAACGTCTAGAGGATGTCACCTATCTGTCACCTACCTATCTGTCATCTACCTGTCCTAACGTCTTTGAGCGATCTGTTCCAGGATGAAGAGCCAGCTGATGGGACACCCCAAGATCCACTGCTCCCAGATATTCCTCGGATCCAGGACCCGGACCCCTTGGACTCAGATGGTCCGGGTTTGGCAACGACCCGGACCGTTTCGTACGGACGTACGAACACCTCCGTTCGACGGTACCTGGACCCGGACTGGGTCGACAAGCCACCGAGAGAGACATTTTGGCTGTCTAAACAAAACGGGTGACCCACCTCGAAGACGTTGTCCAGCTGAAGCTCTGCGCGAGTCAGGGTCATCCCTTGTGCCTGCCGATGTCGCGTTAGACGAACTCTCCGAAACAACCCGTCATCATGTTCGGGCTCGCCAGCGAGGTCAAATAAATAAATAGGTTGGAGGCCGGCCATCGCAACTAATAACAAGAAGCTACTAGTAGCTCCTGGCATTACTAGTAGCTACTGGCATTAAGATATCATAGGTTTCATCATGAGATTGTTTGTTCTGTAGCACCCTGCAACTGCTCAGCCCGCTGTTTTCCGATCCCTCGGGTCCCAGTCCCGTCACTCTGGCGAGGTGGGTGAGGACGGCTGCTCCACGTATGGACGGACGCTCCACGGGACTGCCGCCCCAGACAAACCCTCCTGGCACCCCTGGCCGTTTTGAAGGCAGTCCGTCCTGGCAGTCCCAAACAGGTCGTGTCCAGGAGAAGGAATATACTGATGCTCCCGGACTATACTGATGCTCTCATATCTAGTCAGTGTCTGGGTTTTACCATGATGCTCCACGGATGGAATACATGCCGATCAGGCCAGGGGTGGTGCCAGGGGAGTCAATGGGGCGGTCTTTTTGATTCCAGTCCCATGGAGTGTCTGGGTTTAACGTCTGACCATAGTGGTACGGCACGGATGACTATTTGCACAGCTAACTGTTTATACTGAAAATGGATGTGACTATCGACATCTATGGATTATGAATGCGTATTTTCGATCAGGGGTGTCCCCCCTGGGCATTACCCCCCTTTGTCACTGGGTAGACTGGTCGTCTGTTCACCTTACCCAGCGGGTCGTTCCACTGGAAGCTCTGCCGACCGTGCCCGTTCGCTCTGCAGCCAGACCGAGCGAGGTGGTCGTCCCCCTCTCTCCAGCATCCACCCGGTGCACCTTATGTACAGTCAGTGCCCATCCGAGTTTCAGCGGAACTTGGAACCTGAGTCTATTTCAGGGGAACGGAACACCGGCGGAACTGAGAAGTGTTGCAAACCAAGCGGATGGGTTGACCAACCTCTAGCATAGGAAAACGGTTGTTGTTGTTGTTGTTCTTTCTTCCAGCACATAAATAGCCTATGAAATTGGCAAATCAAGTTCTACTGTAATAGTGGATAGATGATTGATTGTATCTCTAAAATGACGACCCAACTGACCTCCAACAGTACAAAGCCAGAACCGCAGAGTGTTTGTACCATAAATTGTGAGTTCACTTCACCAAGAATTCAAGCCACTCCACATCAGCTTCTGTATAAAATTATATTCCAGAGTTCTTAGTCCATTATGTAGGTCCATATGTGTCTCTATAAATTAAATGTTCAGGCTTTGTTTGGATTTTAACACCCAGGGTATCCTCACTATAGCATGGGTGCTGGAACTGCATTGCACATGTTTAAACAACATATATATATATTATAAACATATGTAATATGTATACCATTGGCATGTTGTAGTTCACTGCTCATGCACCAGGTATGATGGATCCATTCCCGAGTGTTGTGAAACAAAACACAGCTTCGACTTCTTTCGATTTGATGAGTTTGAAGCGGATGTGTCCTGATGTGTGATGTGTCTGGATTCTTGAACCGGCACACATTGATTTCAGGCTTAAACTTTCGATAAAGGGCTTCTTGAGACTCAGCACTGAATGTTCAACCGACAAAAAAAAGCCCCAAAACCAGCTGGGCGCCCAGCCTCTCCAGGCGCGAAGCTCCTTGTCCTTGGGTGAACCTGTGCACTCCAATACCTGAGATCAACTGCTCCCAGCCCATGCGACAGGTCTCCAATCAAAAGCTTCTCCGATTCTGATGACTTAGAGTGGCAGGAACTCTGCTTCCTTGTCAGATGATTGTGGTTGTGGCGGCCTGGCTCCATAGAGGTATATTAAATATTAAGATCCTGTAGTAACCGAATGGATCCACTGCCACCTTTTGAGGTACGGTGAGGACGGAGACTATTTATGTAGGTGCCGGGAGGGTCCAATTGCCTTCTGAGAAGGTATGTGGATCCATAGGGGTCGTAACCGAATTGACAACTATCTTGTACGTTAGAACTTGCAAGGCAGTGTCCAACGGAGATCCCGAAGTGATCTTGGAGTAATGCTGAAGGAACAAATTCGGCTCAACTGATGCCAGGATGCTCCAAATGGGCAAAGCTACAACATCTATATATATATAGAGGCAGGGAATTGAATATGTGGATATCCAATCTTTTATCATGTCTTGAAACATGATATGTGTTGCAAGACATCTAGAATCGACAAACTACTGAAAAGCTCAGAAGCTTTTCTCCTGCCAGACCTTTTTCCGCGTGACGTTGCAGCGGTGCTTGCATTTGGGTCGACTGGTCAGGATCGTCGGTGCACGCAGGAGTCTCATCTCTCAGAGGTGCCGGGTCTTGTGAAGATATCCTCGGTGCGAAACCATTGATATAGTAGGATGTTCAATACATTCTTTTGTACATGAACATTTGATGACAAGATTGCAACCTTTGTGAAGTTGATGAAACTGGCTTCACGCAGAATGTTCAATACGATGACACGTACGTTAATATTTGATGAACAACTATCAATGAACCGAACCTTCTGTGAAAATGATGAAACGATGGCAGGATGGTTTGCCAAGAAATCTCTGTCTTTTCATTGGGATGTGACAAAACCCTGTGGCTGGGTTTCTCCATATTCAGATCCACACCCATATGGTGATCTATGGCGTGTCAAAGTAAATACAAACCGGAATCATGACTGGCATGTTGTCAACTCGAGTTCTAAGCAGCATAGCTCAACATGTTCTCCTAAAACAACTTCCTTGGAGGCGGTTCCAAGTTCTTTCCCTCATTTCTTGCTGATAGTACCCAGACACATTGGGGTGGCTTAGGGTCAATGTAGGCATATGTACCATACATGGAGCGTCTGGGGTATAAAACAACCACACATATTTTAAAAAACAAATAACAACAACTGTAACATACCAGGCTCATCCTGTCTGGGTGTCCAATAGACTACCCTACCCTACTTATTGTAGGTCTCCTACTCCAAGGCACCCAGACAGGAAGTGCTAGGTACCTTCAGGATCTTTTGCCAAAGTTCATCTAAGGAGACCCCGGTCTCTTGCGCCTTCTCCACCGATGGCCCATACGTCTTCAAGAGCTTCCTCCAGCGGTGTTGCTCAGCCCAGCCGATGATCTGGGCCGCCTCTGACACGTGACGAAGCTCTGCCCACCTGGAGGGGTACACCGATGTGGACAGCATCGATGTGGACAGGGCGCATATGACATACGTTGGGGGGGGTTCTGGAGGCGCACTGATGCGCCTGTCTTCTCACCCAACCCCTGCATTCTCCAAGTCTTCATCATTCTACAATCAAAACAGTAATAGCAATTTTTCAAGCATCAGATTGTGGCACACTCAGCAAGATGAGGGAATCGATTCCACCTCAGCAATCTCGCTAAGATCATCTGCTCCTCCTCCTCCAAGTCTTGAGGGATTCCTTGAACCAAGCGATGCACACTCGTCCTCGGACCCGCGCCACCAAGCTCGCCGCTCGCGTCGCGCGCTGATCTGGAGCGCCAGGAGATCACAGTGGCGGAATCCACACCTGAGGCGAATTTCCAGGGTGTGGAGCTACCTGGGAAATATATAGATGGAAACACAGTCCTATATGTCCGGTCCGAATGCAGAATGCAACAAAATCTAAAACGTTCGTCAAATTTGTGGATTTGGGCAAAAGTTCGGCGGGAGTCTTTTTAGGGGAGCAGCTTCTTGCCCCCTGTTGGGGGAACCTCCCCGTAGCGCATGCTTCCACCAGAAAGACACTAGACTAGCTCGCAAAATCCAAATTCAAAAGGCAAACTGAAACTGTCCTCTCTTCGGAAAGACACATTCTTGATAGCTTTCTGCTGATTGAATCGTGATTGCGCACACATACCTGATATGGAGCGGTTCTAACAGGAAAACTCGTCCCCCCACCCTGGCTCCTTGCTCCACACAGCACACTACGCTGACAGATGCTGACAGTATTTGTTGATGGGTTTTGTTGGGTAATATCACAAACATTCACAACCAGTCAAAACAACACCAAGGTTTCTAAAACCTGGTGATTCCAGATTGGCAAGAAAAATCAACACATAAAATATGTTTAGCAGTCAGGTCTGATGCTGGTGCCGTCTGAATAAACGTATGGCAGCTTCTTCAGGAGAATCGCTGGCATTCGCAGAAAAGCGTTGAAGATCGTTTGGATATCCAGCCGTGTACCAGTAGGCATAACCTTACAAACCAGGTCGCCCGCATTGTGGAACAAAGGCTCACAGCTGCATAACCAATGTCCGTTTTGAAATTGGGAATTCCTAGCCGTGATTTTGTGCTTCAAGTATTTGCAGACCAGCTGCTTTTCCATGTGCTTTCACCTTCCAACAGTTGAGATGCCATTGTTGCAAGGCTCTCCATGCTAAGATTTGGCAATTGGTAGAGACGTTTGAAGCCATAGCCAAATTCCCACTCCAAAGCAGAGACATTGGAGATCCGAGTCAGAAACCTTGGAACTTGGGACCAATCAACGTCCAACGTCGGGTGTGTATTTATATACTATAGAGAGACCTCTCAGTTCAACCCATTGGTCCAGTGGGTCTCGGGGGTCTCGCTATATACACATCCTGGCATCCTCGATGGCTCGATGGCTGGTGGACCGGTCAAAGCCTGGTGAGAAGACTTGCTGCGCGAGAAACACATCAAAGTCCAGAAAGTCTCCAGTGTGCTTATCATAGGTCACCTGACATTCAGCAAAACACAAACAAAAACACCCCGTGGCGACAAAGCACGATGCCCTCTTTTTTGTCGATGATATAAGATATGTTTGTTTATTATTTATGGACTTGTAATGGATCAATCATCCAGACCTACTCCAGCCGCTCTTCACATTCACAATGCCTTTCCATCACTGACAAGAACACGAACACCGCTCTTCCGTCGTCCACATCCTTTCACCGAAGTCACAGTCTTGAATGACGGATTATTGTAGTAGACAGGGCTGAGTGCCGATGACAAGAAAATAGGCCCAGCTCCGCGTACAGGATGAGGCAAAAGCCGGATCTCGTCTTTGTGAACGTGTCCAAATAGTTGAGCTGCGATGACACCTATGCTTCGTTGCCCTAACAAAACATCGAAAGCAGGTTGGAAAGGCTCAACAATAATGATGGCAAGATGATGGACAAATTGTGAAGACATCCTCCACCATCAGAACTCCCCAAACGCAGTGGTAAATCGTTATGCGAAAAAAACAAAAAAACAACCTTCATCTCAACCAGTAGGGCTGTCCCTTCAGCCCCTGAATTCTCAGAAGGGGGCATGCCTGGGCTTCTGGAGCCGATTCACGCCCCACCTGGACGGAGGGAACGGCGCCGCAGGAGACAAGGCCAGGAGCACTCAGTCTACTCTCTGAGGAAGACTAACATGGAAGTGGATGGCACCACCTGGTGTTTTGTTGTTTGGTGATCGAAAAACAATCAGCCTGTTTATAGGGCCATACCGCCCACTTAACCCGGCCTGATGATTTCAGGGAGTTTAATCCAAGCATCTTCCCAAGACTTCATCCTGCACAATGTCCAAATAGTCTTGCACAAAGCCTCACATCTCAAATCCAACAGCTAAGCAGTGCGACCAGCACGACGTGCTGATGTGTTGCGTCGTGTCTGTCTGATCTTATTGGTTGCTGGTTTGGGGAAGCAGAAACAAAGCAGCTATACTAAAGTTACCTCCAGGGGATCCGGTTGAAACCGGAGGTTGGTTGGTTTCTTGCCCAAAGCAAATCTAGAACAAACATGAATTCTGCAGCAAATGCTACTACATCTTACTACCATTTACTACCTGCACTCCGACTCCACAAAATGAACACCCCAGGAAGACCGTCCAAAACAAGTGGTTCTCCACTTTTTTTTCAGGTGTCAAAAGGGGTGACCTTTCAACACACAGACACCAAGCAGGACGTCCCCATCTCTGACCCCCCAGGCCTCTCCCATCCTTTCCCGCCTCCCCCGCGGTGCTCACGGGTCACTCCCGGTCCCCTCGAACGGACCAGACCGTCGGACCGCACAGCGAAGGATCGGCACCGGGCGTCGACCACACGACACGCGACGAGTCGCGTGGGTTCCCGGAGACGAGTCCATGGGACTAGTCCCCAGACACTCCATGGGACTGACATATATGCCGATCAGGCCAGGGGTGGTTTGGGGGTCAACTGATCGGCATATATGGCAGTCCCATGGAGTGTCTGGGGTCTATTGACCGATCCGGTTAAGGGGGTGCTGCTGCTGGTGGTCAGAGGTCAGACATGATCGGCAGATGACAGACATGGGTCGTGTCTGGGGTTTGGTGATGCTTTGACCTGGAAACGTGGCTGCCAATTCTCGCTGTATCCAAAGGTCTCCATTCCAGGTGGCACATGACCTGCTTGGGGAACATGCGCAAACAGATGTCTGCGCGAATGATGGTGCACAGCTACGCACCATGTGCACCACAACATCAAATGTGGTGTTGTTCAAAACATTTAGTTGTATATACATCCTATTATAGGATATTATAGGACTACTGTCTACTTGATCTGTGTCAACCATGTTCTGTTATGTTGAATAGTAAACGCATCAATGATTCTTGGCCAATCCCAATGCTGGCCTACGATCCACACTTTTCGATTTTCCAGGACAGCTTCAAAGAGCTTCTGCCGCAACCAAGCAAATTGGTAAAATGGGTCCTGCCCAGATGTGTTGGCAGGGGCATGCTTCACAGAATATATGACCTTGGTTTCCAATGACTGTCACCTGAAAGGGCAAACAACACGTACACACACCCTCTTCCATCAGTTGTTGTAGTTGCTCCAAATTTGTCGCCCCTTACTAGTATGGAAACAAAAACAAAGCAAAAGGTTTGTCAAACACAATGCTATTCAGTTGACGGTTGCAATGCTGAGAATCGTCAAATTGCCAATCTGCATCTCAAAAAAACTGCCATAGTTGAACTGCTTCCGGGTCTCTTTGCTCATGCAATGAGCAGTCTCAATCTGATGGCCGACTGCTTCAAACCATCGGTTTGAGGACTTGTTGCTGGTAATGTTTTGGAAATAATTTGCGGGATTGTCATCATTGCCCAGGGCACCAAAGACATACTGCCCAGGTCTCAGGTGATTCATTGCTGAGGAGACTTCACCAATGATGCCGGAGACATTCTCAAAGGGATGCTGAAGTGTCCTGGTCTTTCAGCATGTGAATCAAGCTCTTGAACCGGTGTCCACCGTTTTTGTCACACGTCCCTGGTACAAAAGGACAACAAACCACATCATGTACGGCCTAAAGAGACAAAACGCCGTGGCTGCGGCAGGGCTGCGGCAGGGCTGCTTGAACCCAAGCTTCTCCGGGTGATGTCTTGTGAAATCTCCAGTGAAGATCACGTAGTCGGACTTCTTCTCGTGAGATTTCTCCTGGGTCGCAGAGCTCAGCCCGAACACACTGCTCCCAAGGAATCCGAAAACACACGATACACGAGGGGCAAGCTTTGTACGACCTGGCCCGGCATCGAACATGCCATCTGCTTGATACAACCATCATCTACAAGCTGCCAGCTTAACAACCATCCTCATTCTCGGTCCAACTCGTGAGTTAGGCCTGCCCTCCAGGCATCGAACTATGTAGTAGTAGTAGCAGCAGGAGTTACTTGATCTTGACCTATGATTAATAAAGGGACCCGGAATAAAGTTACCACTTTATATTCAATTCAAATTCAATTCCAATTCATTTCTAATTGACTACTAATTCACCTTTATTTTAATAGTTGTTTTAGTAAGGGGACATTTCATTTTATAATTCTTTCTTGGAACCTGGGATGAATTTCAATATTTGACAATACATCTATTAATCAGAGGTCAACATTAGTAGTAGTTAGTAGTGAGCCGCCGGCCACCCGCCGTGGCCGCCGAGTCTCCAGGTGTTCAACGGCGCTCACCACCGAGCGCGCCAAGGACATGGGAGGATCGCAACCCATGATGCCGAAGCTGAAGTTCCTGTCACGAATGATCAGCGTGACGACGTGACTCGCTATGCAAAACAACGGATCAACGAGAAGACTTGAGGATAGGCTATACCCTGTAAGCCAAAGACTATAAAAAGAATAGTCTTTATGGGATCTGAAAGGGAATTTCCTTTACTTCACTCAGGGAAAGCATAGTCTTTGGACTTCCAGGGTATAGCAAAATAGGTCTTCATGTGAGTGAAGACCATAAGCTGGAAAACCATCAGAGCAAGGATTCTAGTATATATATTCACTCTTCACCACAGCAGTGCCATGGGGTTTTCTACGGTGCAAGATGGCCTCAGAGTGCTCACGTTCTTCTTCACACATTGGCCTTAGGAGGTCCAAAACACCGTAGTCTTGCAAAACTGAGAGAGCTGCCAGAGATACGGCGGGTGCACTTGCAAAACTGCTCTACTCAACCGAGTAAGGCTTTACATGGATTCTCGACAGACAGGCTGTGTAATTACACGCGTGGAAAAAAAAAACATATAATACACAAGAAGCACAGAAGTTAAAAGTGGATGGCCATCGCACTTGGTTGATCTTTCCTTGTGGCTGACGGAAGCAACATCATCTCATATTATCATCTCAAGATGACGCAGGTGACGTTCTCATGCACCGTGACGTTTTGGTGATGCCAAGTGACGTTCTGATGTCAAGTAAAAAGGGTCGATGTGGAAATCTGTAAGCCATATCGACCTGCCAGTGGTTCTTCCCCTTTCCAAAGCGCGTCTCTGCAAGAGATTTAGGTTATTCTCGGTCTCGCCATACAAGATCTCCTCAAGCTCAAAGGTCCGCTCACCGTGGAAGGAGGTGGCACCTCCAGTCAACACAGAGAAATAAGAGCAAACTGGAGAAAAAGGAAAAGACACGGATACAATGACCGCGGCACCTCTTAAGGATTCTCTCTCAAACTGCCGTGTCCACAACACAAGTGCCAAGTCCACGCAGGAGTTCTCGCACGGGCAAACCTCTGGCAACTATGGATGTGCGTAATTAACTATGTGTTGCTGTGTTTTTCCAAGGCAACCTCATCTGCCATATGAGAATCAACATGACACTGCCATAGTAGTGTGTATTAAAAAACGGAGCTTCCGCTTGCCCCCAACAGGACCGGACACGCCCGTCAAAGGAGCTAAACCATCAACCCGTCGACAAAGGCGACGGGCTTCCGGGGGGTTCCGGGGGTTCCTATTCCAAGAAGCAAACCCCTAAACCGTACCAAGCCGCCGCAGTGCAGGGCGAGCCCGAAGCCAACAGCGGTTTGCAGTCCAGCCATGGTCTTCCCGGCGGCAGGTAGCCATCGAAGGAGCGCGAATCGATCGGAGGAACAAGGTAACACAAGTGATCCAGATCTGACATGTTTCGGCTGGAAGCCCACCAAAAACCAAAGCTCAACCAAGCTTCAATTCATTTAAACGGTGTAAAACGCAAAAGTTAGCTGCTGACTGGAAGTGCTTAGAGAACTGATCTTAGCTCAAGCCTCGCTCAAGTATTGCACCGTTTGGGAGCCAAACCACAGCGAAAGACTGGCAAGCCGTGCCTACTTGCCATCTTAGTGAAGACAAAACAACCAGCAGACTGACATTGAGGGGTCTCGTCTTGTGCCTGCTGGACGGGGCATGGATCTTGTTGGTGCACCTTCTTTAACCGGATTGATGGTCAGTATGGTGATGCACCAAAACCGTGTTGGTGTCCCACGTCCTGGTTCAAGAACTGGACATTAACCAGGAGTACAAGGCCCTCCTTCTATGCAGGTCGAGTCTCAAACTTTCTTCCCATGGTCGAAACGCACCACGGGCTTTCCATCTTCAAAGCCCTGAGCGCGGCGCGCGCGCGCGCGCGGGTGGCGTGTCGCAGGTGACGTGCTGCGGGTAACGCATGCGCTTCGACCGAGTACGAGGCATAAAAATAAACACCTGCATAAGCGTGGCCCCTGAAGTTGCCCCAAGGTATGACCCCTGTCCACTAAACAGAGGACAGTACCCTCCCAAAATGATTGAGGTTGCCCAAGACAACCTTTCGTGAGAATCCAGATCCAATCGTGGTGAGTGAGAGGTGGCTATCACCTGGAGATGTATATAGTCCAAAGCCGAGCACTGTCCTTGAAGGTAAAACGTGAACGCAATGACATGACCCATTGCATTGCCAACGTTAGTATTGGCCCTCCTAGATTGTTGAAGGCTTGCGTAAGTGCATGATGATCCTCAAGTTGATAATACATGATATAGTAATACATGGAAGAGTTGGAAGCATGCAGTTTGGGCTGTTCTACATTCAATTCTATGCGCTTGTTGATCTGTCAATGCCTATTGCCTATTGCAACCAAATCATCTACATACAGAATTGAACAAAACACGATTTACCGCAACATCAGCGCTGACACTCGGCATTTTTGGTAGACAATCAAAGGACAGTTCAGCATGGCCACGCAGCCTCGACGCAGCCTCGATGGCCATTCACCAGCCCCAAAGCTGGGTCGTTCTTCAGGTGAATGACCTGTGAGGATCAGCGAAGATCTGCTTTCTTCCCATCGAAGATCTTGCCAGGTACTCAAACGAAGGAGATTTCATGAGATTTCTGGACCCTCAAGTTTACCAGCATGTTGAGGGTGTCCAATCACCTTCTCAGAAGGTATGTGGATCTCTTTATGGAATCACTTGAGTGAGTATGTGATTCTCACGCGGCCAGAGTCAATCGTAGCCAAGACATGAGGGGCTTGACGGAGCTGCTCATCTCAACTAACATGGGTGAGTAAAACTAACAAACATGAACGTCACAGCCTTGACAATTCCCTGGCTGTAGATAAACATCTTTGAGGTAAGTTTCTGTTCTTGCAAGTATCATTGGTGGGGGGTCAATCGTGGTTCTTGGAGCTGGTTTGGACCCCATAGCTGCAACTCTAAACACCAGAGCAAGTGTTCTCCAAAAAAGAACCTCACGGCCATACGACGGCCATACGATCAAAGGTTTTGAGAGCCATATTGCATCAAAAGCATTGAAACACCAAGCAAAAAAGAAGCAACAGCCCCTCCTGGGCTACTTGAGGGAGTTCCCATTCATCTACACAAACGTGCCTCCTTCGCAAAGGCTTGAGTCAAATGTGTCTCACAAGCTCTGCGCGATTCTGTCACTGCATCTGTCCGACAGAGTCTCTCGTTCTCTCAATCTCTCCATGCCTGGGCACCAACTTTCAAGCTGAGTTGTGAAGGCACCTGAAGCGATGAGCTTCACGGCCCAACATGTGTGCAATCTCAAATGAATTCACTTTTGAGACTGAATCATGAATCATGATTGGCCAAGAACCAACACGTGTTCGGAGGCAAGGCACTAGGATGCAGGTTGCTGCAATGTGAACACTGCATGATTCATGGCTTCTCTTTGATGGGATATGGACACTCTCTCGAGGCTTTAAATTTCTCACTAGAGAGTTGATTGGAAAGAGAATGCAAATGCAAACTGCATGGAGCTAGATTTGGGTGTGTATGTCTTTCATTTTCGTTCAATGGGAGCACCCAACCTCCGTCTGTTATATCTTCCTTCATTAAATGGAGGTCTTTGGGGTCACCCCTCTTTTTTTGACCACTTTTTGCTTGGACCGCGCATTGGACAGGTACGGATACGCAATGGAATGTTGCATCAGGAAAAGGGATCTTTCTTGACATCTCGCGTTTTTGGGTATGACAAACACCATGAACACCTCCCAGTGACTCGCTAGCCCCCCCAAAGCCTCAAGTTGACAAAGTGAAAACTGTGGAGATCTGTGGAGTATCCCCTGAAAGTCCTAGTTTCTAGACTTAAGGTGTGAATAAAGAAACTCCTGAAACATATTGTAATATCCACATCTTTCTCTCTTTCACTACTTAGATTACAAGCGTATATGTATATATATATATACATATTATATATATATATACACGTCATGTTTTGACAGATTTCCTAGGTCGCCACTCCACACCACACTCCACACTCCTCCACACTCCGTCGCCTTCCGATCCAAAGCCACTCTCTGCTGCGCGCTCACGCGCCGGGGGAGCCGATCACGGGCCAAGAGATTCATGGCTTCGCCTGGTGACGTCACGGGGCGCGGGTTGGAGATGCGACTGTCTACAGTACTCGTCGTCAGAGACAGTCGCAGAGACAGTAGTCGTGGGCTGTGGAGAAGACGAGAACGTGAAGCCGCTCGGCGTTCTGTTCTTTTCTTGGAGCCGACCTGCTGGGTTTGCCGCAAGGAGATACATAATACCTGGAGCATCAGAATCCTTATAATTCCTGGTGAAGTTAACTTTCCCAGCGATTTAGTGAACTTCAGCGATTTGGTTGGGAAACCAACGATCTTATGATCTTATACCTCTGCAGAAACACACGCACCACGACAAACCACGCACATCACACTTTGCCTGGAACAGCGCCTGGTCGAGTTCCTGTTCAACCGCGCTTCTTGGCTAAGTTCTGGGCGAATTGGGTGTTGTAAAACCCAAGGCACTTCCTCATGCATGAGATGCTGAGAGTGGCTCCGTGACATGACCTGGCAACCCTGCTCACCCTCCCCACAAAATCCTCGTCACTCCAACAGGAACTTGTATGGGGACTAAGGGACCATCCACTCAAGGATAAGCCAATCTCAGCAAGCATGTGGACCTTTGGGCGCAGCTTAAACAATTTCTTGCCAGCTCGAAAAGCAATGGCTGCCAAACGCACGTAGCCATCCTGGATTGTTCAAAAGTAACTTGGGCACCAGAAGTTTCCCAGAGTAACCTCACCTATACACAACTTGTTCCCGAAGAAGGTCAGGCATTAAGTGAAAATGAAAACATGTTCTTACAGGCAAGCTACACAAACATTGTTTGCTGCTCTCCTAGCTTCAGTGCTTGCAACTGGATTCAGAAAGATTCCATGCTGGTAGAGAATGTCGAAGAAGTCATTAGCCTGGCAAATTGTGTACCTCATGTACTCCAAGGGCTCATTGTCGCAATCCTGGATTCGGGTCGAAGGTTGCTGGGGGCTTCACTGCGGGGAAGAGACCGTGTTTAGGTCACAAAAAGGTTGCAGTCAAGGGTCAAGGTCAACAATAAATGCTTGCAGCATCTGCAAACAACGGCTGTATCGTGCCCTTTTCCAGCCACGGAGGTGGGAAAGTCATTGTGCCTAGATGAAACTATGCAGCTTTTGTGGGGCATGAAACTCTATAAGCGCTTTGCTTTTCTTGGGCGTAAGGAAACATAAAGCAATCAATCAATCCGGGGAACGATTTCATGCCAAACTTTTTCATGCACCATTCATCACAGCTGTTGTGACGCTTGGTGTCATAGCAGTACTGCTGAAAGGACGTATAAGCAGACTGCAGTCTACTATCCAGAGAACGGGTTGCGCCGAACTTGCCCAACTCGCACAGCCATACCACCATGGATGCGACCATGTCGGAACCGAATCCAATATGGAAAGTATGGACAATGTCCGGGAGTATGCTTGAAGGCTCACTTGCACCAGGTACACCAGCAAATATGTTTCCCTCACGCTTGAAGGGTGATGGACCAGGTCTTTCAACACGCCATGGAGCATCTGCGTCCATGTCATACCAGCACTCAGGGTTTCCAGCTCTCAAACTATGATCGAGGGTCACCACACATCTATTTATGGAACCCCCCACCTTGCTCGAACTCGAACACAGGTGACACTTTCTGATATTAACAAGTCAAACATACATATATATATATTCTATAATATATATATATATATATATTGTTTAGCGCCCCCCACCTTGCTCGAACACAAGTGACACTTTCTGATACTGGTGAAACCACTTTGCAGGCTGTACGCCTGAAGCCAAGAGATGAAAGAGACTTTCATCAGGAACATTGTAAAACAACATGCGAACCAACCCATGCGCAGCACCTTCCTCAAAAAGGGCCAGTCGCCCTTTCCACCCACGTAGATCAGGCGGAGGTGTTTGCCTCGAACCTCCGCAATAGATTCACTTGGCCGGGAACCCACATTCAGTTGACTGAAAGGTTTCTGAACCCATGCAACTAACATAACGACCAAATATAATGGTTGGCGATCAAGCTTCGTTGGACATCCCAGCCTCTACACCATTGTAGAACAAGGATTGCATTTGCTCAGCCCATGCAGCGTTGAGATCCCGAAGAGTTTGTTCTTTATAGAACAGTTTGGATGCAATGCAGGTGTAGAGCATGCGCCAGCAAAAGCTGTGCCTTGAACACATTGTAACCCCCCTTATATATATATATGCATACATCTCTTGATACATGCAATCAATTTGATGCGCCTGCCTTTAAAAAATAAAGCTTGACAAGACTTAGAAAACCAAGGCACCCTGATATGTTGGTGAATGCTGGCCCCAAATGCGACAGTACGAACTGCCAACTCTCTACCATGAAAGCAAGGGACCGTAATCCTCTGCCTTCGTCCCCGTGGAGCATGTATGGAATAGCCGCTGTAAGATCAACACCCTCCAAGCTAAACACCGGGTGATGGGGGTTGCACCGGCGGTACACATCCCAGAACCAGCCCAGGAGCACCCTCCATTCATTCTCTTGTTCGAATTCGTACCCTCCAAACATATATGGTGAAAAAGACTCTGCCAACACGTGTAGCCAACTCTCCATGGAGAAGGTGGGCCAAAACATATCCACAACACGCTTTGGCCGCCTAAGCTGAATCTTGGTTTGGACGGTAATGATTTCAATCGGCAGTGTCACTCCAGCTTTGTGAATCACCGTGCGAAGGTTCCGGTCCGCATTGTTCTGGAGCTTGCCGGCGGAAGCGATTTTGCACAGAAGATCTCCAGCTCCTCTGTTTCAACTTGTACTATGGCTCGGGGGTTTGGAGCAAAAGTACAGAAACTGACCCACCCCAATCAAAATACGTCTATATATACTAAGTTGAGCAGCGTTTTGAGCCCCCGTGGATTGCCAATCGGGCAATGTTTGCAGTCTTTGTTGCACTTTGAGCCTGGGCAAATTTGTTCCATGCATACATTTGCAGGGGCGCCCAAGTGGAATAAACACAGCCCATGGCAACCCAAGAAACACCCGTGAAGTAGCTGTCCAAAATCTCCATAGCGCAATCATGTTCATTCTGAAGATGTTCTGCTAAATTGGGGTCTCCTAAACGAAACAACGTGAGGTGGCGGTAAAGAAAGTCCTCCACACAGCTTCTCCTCCAACCAATTCGGTGAAGTGAGCTTGCACATTGACACCTGGCCAGTCAATTTGGACAGCGGTTTGGCACACTACTGTATAAATCCATGCAGTGCTCATGAATGAAGTGCATTCACAAGCACAGGCTTGCATTGGAACGTGTTTCAACTATAAAGTACTAAATACATATACGTACGTATATATGAGCTGCGCCCGTCAATTTACCGTGCACCGTCAGTCAGGTCATGCCCGCATTTTCTCCCCATAGCATTGCCACGTGCGCAATGAAAACCATCGCAAGCATCTTGTTCAGATGTCTTCAGCAGGTGTTTAGAAACACGTGCATCTTTAAACAAAATAGGGCCGGCCATTCAACCTACTTGCCCTCCTTACGTTTTTTGGACTTTGGTTCACCTGATGCCTGCTTGCCACTCCTTTTGGTGGACGGTGCAGGCGGTGCAACAGCAGCTGCCTTAGCAGCAGCAGCCTTAGCGGCAGCTGTCTTAGCAGCAGCCGCTTTCGGCTTCTGGATCTTCACTGACCTGACGACAAGCAAACAGCATCAAAAGGCCTTTAATGGAATTTCACCACTTCACAGCAGAAGACAAAACGACATCGGCGCGCAAAAAATATGTATATGTATACTGCACAAGCCTGGCGCGCGACATGATGTTGTTGACACGGACATCCATCTTCGTGCAATTGATGAATATGGCGCGCAGATCGTCTCGATCTTTCTCCTACAAGTCAGGTAACACTGGAAAACTTGGTGTGGTGTTGTCAGTGGTGGAAATTCACTGCATGCATGCCACAAGTTCTCCAGCCATTTCATATCTAATTTTTGTCAAGCTGCAGAAGGGCAAGCAACAGTGCATTTGCTCTCTTGGAAGGAAATCAAAGAGTCATATGCACCTTTGTAAGCAGCGCGGTCACTCTGGAGCTGATTGACCAACCTAAGCTTTTGTGTGCATAGCTGCATCTGCACAAAAAACCGCAAGCTTAACGCTAAGTACAGATGAGTAGCTCAGTTGCCCTCGGTCCACCAGATTTCTGGAGTTTTTCCTGTCCACCAGTGAAATATATAATTCCAAATCGATGGGTAAACATATGACCAAATAGGTTCAGCATGACCAAATAGGTTCAGCGTGCAAAAAAGATAATGTGTCCTTTTGCTCATCGATACGATCCATCTTTTTCCCCATTTGGTCGACGAAGCTCGTGATGTAGCCTCACACTCATGTGCATGACACTGCAGTGTATAACCGTATACGAGCGTGTAAGAGATCACTTCGCACGAACACCTAATTGATACATATATATGTCAAAGGAACCAAACGGATCCTGGGTTTGCTGGACCATCGGAAGGTTTTGCAGCTTTGCCGCCGCCGCGCTCTGGGCTGCAATCTGGTTGCAGGCACCACTCCCTGCACTACCGCGCCTGGGATTGAACAGACACGGTGGAGTGTGACCTGTGCATGATGAACATATATGTGAGAGAGAGGAGAGGTGCATGTTATGTAAGCCCAAGCACGTCATGGCAGCTTGCGCAGAGAACTTGCTAAAGTCTAGAAGAGTTCCCTTTGGATCGTCCACCATCGTAGACCCAGAACCCTCTCCTTCCTTGGACCGAGTTGTAGAGAAATCAAACGTTTCCTCAGTAGGCACCCGCCACTCATCCTCTCCATGGACCTCGTTCTTCCTGCTTAGGCCACGAGCTTCAGCCCAAGCTTTGGCGTTTGCAATCATCGACCTAAGTTCTAAGACCCCTAGACTCTAGACCCTATAGGCAGGTGTACGTTCAAGTTCTTTGTGCGCTCAATGAGTGCAGCATGTTATGCATATCATACATGTTAAGTAGGGGTGGCGCGTTGTCCATCCCTTTGCCTTCAGAGAGAGTTCTGTGTG